ACAGGTAATCCAGGTGAGAACAATTTAGAAGGCATATTGAACTTGAAGTGCTGACAGGACATACAAGTATGCACAGGAATTTAAGATCAGAAAGGAGATGAAGACCAGAGATGTGGACCTGGAGGGCACTGGGGCTCAGGGAGGACGTGCATAAATGGCTGAGTGGGGATTGGGACCTAACTATGTCTGTCCTTGAAGTCCAGTAACTCCACTTCACTGTGCTATGAAAGAATGGACCTACTTTTGTGGATGGCCAGAGACGTGTGAGGGGACCCAGGAGCCAGCAAAGAAGAGAATTTCAAGGAGGTGATGATCTAACATTTCAGAATAACCAGTTAGAATTTGAGGAGGAGCTCTGGTGGCATAGTGCCTAAGGCATTTGACTGCTAACCAGAAGGCTGGCGGTTCAAACCCACCAGCCACTTCTCAGAAGAAAGATTGGGCAATCCACTTCCGCAGAGATACTGCCTTGGAACCTACTCGATGGCAGTGAGTTTTGTTTTGTTTTGTTTTGGGAGGGGGGTGGTAGTTACATAAAAGAAGCCACACATACATATAAACTTGTTAAGTCTATTCTGACTCATGGTGACCTCATGTATGTCATAGTTGAGCTATGCTCCATAGGGTTTTCAATGGCTGATTTTTGGGAAGTAACTCTCCTTACCTTTCTTCTTTTTCTTTTTAATTTTTATTGTGATTTGGGTGAAAGTTTACAGAACAAATCCATTTTCCACAGAGCAGTTCATACACATCTTGTCTCATGACATGGACTACAATTCCCCACAATGTAACAATTCTCTTCCCACTTCCTCTCCATAGTTACCTCTTCCCTGTGTCCTTCCCTTCCATGTACTCCCACCACTTGTCCCTGTGCAAACACTGCCCTTCTGTTGTCCCTTGATTGATGATCCAAGGAGCGTTTCTACCTAAGGTAAATGTTCAGCCCATATGCCTATTATTTGACTGGAAGCCACAGGAGCTAGTTCAATTCCAGACCTGAAGGGTAGCTAGGGGCCATGGATAGTCTCAGGGCTGGTCTTTCTTCTGATATACAGTTTTGTACCTTGCTTTTTTTTTTTTTTTTTAATGTAACACTTTATCTTGGGAATAATTCCAATAGCAAAGTCTCTGTCTCCCTCTCTCGCTTTTTCTGTCAATTTTTCTCTTTTCTCTTTTTATGGCCACACACTCATTGTTCCACTGTAAGGAATGGATACAAATAGTTAATTTAGCCTAACCTCCATTGATGAACATTTGATTTGTTGCTTAACTTTTGCCCCCATTACAAACATTATAAAGGAGAAGTACTCATCCACATTCCCATCAGCAATTATGGGACTGGCTGCGCTTCCCCACATACTCCACAGCACTGTGTTACCAAACTTTTGGATTTCTGCCAATCTGATAGGGAAAATTAGTATTTCGTTGTCATTTTAACTTGTGTTTTCTGTGTATGAATGAGACTAAACATAGTTTCATATGTTTTAGGGAAATGTTGTATTTTTTTCTATGAAGTGTCTGTTTATTTCTTTTGCCAATCTTCTACTACGTAGTTGATCATTATTTATTTATAAGAGCTCTTTACACATCAGGGGATTTAACCCTTTGCTTTTGATGGTAGTTGTAAATATGGTTTCTTTTTCCATTTGGTCATTTGTCTCTTAATTTTGCTTTTACACTTTTTCCCATGCAGATTTTTTATTAACAAATGTGGCTGTATCTGTCTTTTCTTTTATGGCTTCTATGTTTGGATCATACTTTAACTAGTGTTTCTTCAATACAGTGGATTCCTGCCTTCGAGTTGCTCCATTGCCAGTAGGAAATGATTGAAAGTATCTAAGTATTTAGTGCCTAAGGCATTTGACTGCTAACCAGAAGGCTGAAGGTTCAAGCCCATCAGCCACTTCTTGGAAGGAAGATTGGGCAATCTACTTCCTAGAGATACTGCTTTGGAAACCCAAGGAGGGGTTGCTATGAGTCAAATCAACTCGATGGCAGTGAGTTTGGTTTGGTTTGGAAGTAACTATAGTAGAAGTTACCATATGATCAGTACTCTAAAGTGGTGCAAAGTGCTATTTCTTCATATGTTTATTCATTCACCCAGTTATCAGTCTATCTGTGGCTTCAACCATTCATTTATCATGCCTTTACTGAATTCTTTCTAAGGACAAGGGAAGATATGAAGCAAGATGATATTTTGTGGTGATTAAACATGGGGGCAAGGATGACAGACGTCTACATCTGAATCCTGGCTCTATGTTTACTCATCTTTGGCCTTGGGCTGGTTACTATGTTTATATTTTTCATATTATCCAATGAGACATGACAGAAATATAGGATGTGGAGAGGTCAAGGGTTAGAGATTGAAGAAAAGATGAGGAAGGGAGTAGGTTAGGGAGAGAGCTGTGAGGATGAGTATATTACCTGGATTTGTGATTTCAGGTGGTAAAATCTGGATTCTGACAAGGCCCACAGGGTAGTCATTGGGGTGGATGGCGAAAGTAAATGACATCAGACAACCATTGTGGAAAGCAGTATGGTGATTCCTTCAAAAGTTAGAACTAGAAATACCATTTGATCCAGCCATTCCATTACCACGTATATACCCTAAAGAAGTGAGAGCCATGACAAGAACAGATATATGCAAACCCATGTTCATCGCAGCATTATTTACAATAGCCTAAAGATGGAAACCACCTAGGTGACCATCAACTGAGGAATGGATAACCAAACTATGGTACATACACACAATGGAATACTGTGCAATGCTAAAGAATAATGTAGAATCTGCAAAACACCGCATAACATGGATGAACT